TATATAATCATATCAGCACACTGGTACAAGAGCTTTAACCCTTTTTTCCTTTTGGTGTCTATAGTACACAGAGAAAGACGACGCGCTTTTCCAGAATTGTTCTTCTCCAGCCCTTCCAAATGGCTGAGAACATCATCATCTAAACTAACGAATCCTTCGTTGGTAGGTTACGGTGCTGGGTTACCGGCATGCCGCTCTGCCCAGCACAACAGGGCAGGTCCGTGCCAACAAGCAGGACCGTGCTCAGAATCAGCCTTGCAGCGCGGAAACCCGCATTTCTGAGACGGAGCTGGGCAAGGCAGCCACGGAAAGGCAGCAGGAAGGGGGAAAAGGCAGCGGGAAGGAAGGGGGAAAGGCAGCAGGAAGGAAGGGGGAAAGGCAGCAGGCGCCCGTCTGAGCCCCGCGCACCCCCTCCCCTGCACCATTTCCCTCGCAGCGAGCACCAAATTCTCCACAAGCACAGCCCAGCCAGGGTACTCGCCTGTGAAAACGGGTGGGTTCTGGAGAGAAAGAGGTGAATAAATGCATACCAGATCTTTCATTGGTCTGTTAGGAGGCATTCAAGTGGTCTTTTGCTAACGACTTCAATATATATATTTCTTACAGCTAGCAATTAACCTTCTGGTACAGATTAATCTTTAAAAAAAATCAAAGACGAATTAATCTTTGAAATTCAAGTATTCAGTAGTTTCATTAATAATCTGAAATTGTCCTTTAGATTTTCCATAATTAGACCATTCCCCTAATTTATTAATCCCACAGACTGCCAAGCGTGTTTCAAATCTTCGTCTCCTGCCACAATGACATATTCAAACTCACTTGAAGCGCTCATAATAAAAGTCACTTTGTGAAGAATTATTAACTCAAAGGATCAGGCAAAGTCTTTATATACTAAAGCATATTTGAAAACTAAGCGAGGATAGCACTTTCTACTCATCCTCACAGTTCCTAAGATCTTGGCTCAATCAGAAACAAGTTTGGATAAAACACTGAATTTAGGGCAACGACCTGGTACAGATCCGAGGCCAAAGCTAATAAACGCGCTGGTACCTATGGCTAAATCTTCTCTGCCAACACACACTGACTATCGGATACACGGCCGTTGGCTGAGCGCCGGTAACGATGGCGTATTGCTGGTGCCGCTTTGACTCCTTGCCCCCGCTGCGGGGCTGGGCCCGCTCCTGGCAGATACGCGTGGCCCTAAGGGGCTACGTCGGGGAGAACCAGCCCAAGGACCCCGCTCTGACACCTCTGTTCTGCTCGATAAAAGGGGGGCGCAGGGGGCAGGATTCACCCCTACAGCCAGGAAAGCTCCCAAACTGCAGCCAGCACCGCATTGGGTTGTCACAGCCCGGGCGGCGTGAGGAAGCTGGGACCAAAAAAGCCCTGGAGGTGTCTGGGCACCTATTGCCTTCCCTCATTCCCACCAGGCTGCAGAGCCGAGCGTGCCACTGCTGCGTTTACTTATTTACTGGCGCGCTGGGCTCCTGGGCTTGTGAGCGGGGCAGCGGCGAGCCTGCCTGGGCATGGCGGTCCTGCCAATGCTCGCCGCAGCCTTGCTGGGTTCTGACGTCTGCTGTGAGCAGGGAGCTGTGGGAACCCACACAGCCCCCAAACCCCCAGCAAGACCAAAGCCCAAACACAGAAGTGAAGCGGACAACGCTTTAAGCGCAGCACCACTCCTCCTGGTGAACATCACGTGTTTTAGCTAACCGGAAAAGGAGTTAGACAGCGCCTTACACCCCTCTCCTGTCCTCCTCCCCATGCCCCTACAGGGTACGCTGAGTATCTCCTCTGAGCTGGGGAGAACAGGGAATCCACAGCCTCCGTGATTTCCAGAATTGGATCTTTTGAGCATTGGAACAGGCTGCCCAGGGAAGGGGTGGGCTTTGACAACCTAAGGTATTCTAATATTCTTTGACTAAGGAAAAAGCTTCCTCCCACTGCTGTTGCATTTCTGTTGCTTCTGGCATGAGTTTTCTAATTAGCGTGCATTTTGTTTGGGCACCCCAAGCACCATGTTAATTTACTCGCATGGCAGCAGCAGGATCATGCCAAGTGTCCCATCCCATCCCATCCCTCCCTCCCTCCCCACCCCTGCAGTGACACAAGGGCGCAGCCCACATTGCCATGCTTGACCGCTTTTGTCAAGATACCGCGTAATTGCACACCTCGGTCAGGCCACGTATTTGGACCCATTTAACCACCTTTCAGTATTTGAAGTACACTGATCCTGGTAATACTTCTCTATCTTGTGCAACCTCTTGTCCCTTCTGTTCCTCTTTAGAGAGGGCCGTTCACTTCATGCATTCAGACACATGGCTCCTGACCACTCAAACGTGTTTAAATAGGTAGATCAAGGAGCTGCTAACTACACCGCAGCCGTGAATCAGTAAAATTATTGCTGCTTATTGCCTCTTCGGGAGCTCTTTCTGAACCCTGATATTACAGCAATCACCTGACAGCCTGGTTAATCATTTCTTTTGCATAAATTGTCCCCAAGGAGGCACAGCCACGTCAGGCACCAGGAAAGCAACCCCAACACCGCTGCACCCTCAGCACCATCTCCCCCAGAGCATGGGCAAATCCCACTGCAATGTGATCCCCCAAAACGGCACCTGGGGGGCAGCCACAGCCCAGCCCCGAAGTCGGGGGCCAAGGTGCCATTTCCCTGTGGGGGGTCAAGGTCAGGACCTGTATCTCCAGGCAGCCCTGCTCCATTAAACATCTAGACAACAGGATCTCCTTACCCTTCCCAGGGTTTTAAAAACCCAGGGAACTTGTTGACAGGTGTTAAATCCCCTCAGAACTTCACCTAAGCTTTATCTGTGTACCACAAAATAGTTCAGCGCAGCCCTAAGAAGCGCAAGCGGCTGCAGTGAATGGGAGGCGGCGCCGGGGATTGGATTATTCCAGTCCCCAGACAAGGCAGGCTGCACATGTGGAAAAGTTTATGCACTATCCCTGTTAGTGTCTTAATCGTGTAGGCGTGACCTGTATCACCCCGCATGCAAAGCTGTTTTAAGCAGGGTGTTCTTTTGGGTTTATGCTTTATTTTTGATGAAGGACGTTGAATTACATGTTGACTACATGAACAGCTCCTACCATCAATTTAATTCTACAGAAGGCCTATAAAACGATACAGTATTATTCAGCTAGAGTTTGTCCTTGACATAGAGAACACACTTCTGGTATGATTTTGCAACAGTAGATATTTGCAAATAAAGTAAATTTTAAATTATAATGAACACTGGCATTTGTCACTTCCTGCCGTATTAAATCCAAACCCATTTTCTTTAAGACCACATAAATATGCATTCGAATGAACAGACAAATTTATGCAAATATAGGTTCCTTCTGTGATATCAACGTAATGAAACAATTCCAGATTCCCCTCTCCAAAGCCCCTTTCTTGCAAGCGCAGTTGCCTCCTCTGCGCCCTCCTTGGCTGAGGCTGCCAAGGGCGATCCATCGCCTGCCCGGGGCGGTTTGGGAGCCGCTGTGGCTGGGGGCGCCC